CCAGCATTATTTCTGTCACCAATGCCAAATTTTCCAACTACTGGTGATTCTTCTTTGTTTCCAACTTTTGCATTCCAATTACCAATGATAAGCAACACATCTTGATTGCATGTTTGGTCAATTTCAGACTGTAGAAGTTGATAAAAATTTTCAATTTCCTTATCTTTTGCTTTGGTGGTTGGTGCATAAATTTGAATAATAGTGGTATTAACAGGTCTTCCTTGTTGGCATATGGATATTCTCTTATCACTGACAACATTGTACTTCAGGACAGATCTTGAAACATCCTTTGTGATGATGAATGCCACGCCATTCCTCTTCAAACTGTCATTCCCGGCATAGTAGATCATATGTCTGTCTGATTCAAAATGGCAAAAACTGGTCTATTTAAGCTCACTAATGCCTAGGATATCAATGTTTATGAGTTCCATTTCATTTTTGACCACTTCCAATTTTCCTAGATTCATACTTTGTACATTCCATGTTCTGATTATTACTGAATATTTGCAACTGTTTCTCCTCAATTTGAGTCATGCCACGTCGGCACATGGAGGTCCGAAGACTTACTTTATCCATATCATTAAGGTTGGTTCTAATGAGGCAGCTCTTTCCCAGTTCTATTTTGAGTGCCTTCCAACCCAAGGAGCTAGTCTTCCTGCCCTGTGTCGGACAATGTTTCCAAGCTATTCATAAAGTTGCCTAGTAATGTATCAGACAGTGTTTCTCTGCTATTCATAAGGTTTTCCCTGGCCAATTTTTGAGAAATGGATGGCCTCCTCTTTCTTCCTAGTCTGCCAGCTATGTTGAAACCTGTGCACCATGTGCAACTCTACTGGTGTCTGAAACACCAGTGGCACAGCCTCCAGCCTCACTGCAATGTACATGCTTCATAGGATGACAAATTGACAGACAAGTTTGTTTCCCTAAGCTGTTGGAAACTTCTGCACCCTCCTCTTACCTAATTCCTACCTGAAACCTGCCACTCTGTGGTCCCTGGCTGCTCCTGGTCCCTCTCTTTCCTGGCTCTAGGGGACTTGGGGCCTAGCCTTGCCTCCCAACCCTTTTTACCTGGATATCCTGCCACTGCTGAGGTCCCCAAGGCCACTCCTGGTCCTTCCCTTTCCTGGATCTAGGGGGCTTGGGGCCTAGCCTTGCCTCCTTCCCTATGACAATAGGAAAAAAAAAAAAAAAAAAACTTTCCTACCATTTTGTACATTAACGACTGTTGACAAATGCTGAAGTATAAGGTAAGAGCAATGCTGGCTGTGATGGATAAAGTTACAGGTCAGTTTGGCTGGGCCATGATTCTCAGTGGTTTGGTAGTTATGAAATGATGTGATTTGACAATTATGTAATGATGTAGTCATCCTCTACTTTGTGATTTGATATGGTCATCCTTCATTTTTGCGTGACACTGATTTTCACATAATGGCCTAGTTTTTGGAACATAGCCATCTCAGTAAGTGAGGAGTGAGTATACTTAAAAAACATGAAGCTTATTAAAAACAACTTTGTATTGAAATAGTGATTTCAATAAAAAGAAATATAGTGAAAATTTTATTTTGTAGCTGAATGGATGTTTAAAAATCAATGTTGAGTAACAATTTTAAAATGAACCATTTCATTGAACTAAATATAACTGATTATAAAAGTTATTGTTATCTAAGCCACGAAAAATCAAGTTTTCTTTACACTTCTTGAATCTGTCAACTTATAAATGATTTTTTTTAAAAGTGTGTATTTGGGGAAGGCATCAGAAATCTTTATCTAGAAACTTCATTAGCTCTGATATGTCAACACATTTTTCTGGATAATTTCCTGTGGTTTGGGATCTAGATTTGGGAGCAATTTTTAATATTCCATTTTTAAGGGTTTGCTTCAAAAAGAATATTTCCTTTGAGACTTTCTTAACTAGGTGCATTCTCCAAGAGCAGAAAACATGTGAAAAATCCTAGTTTCATGCTTATTTTGCCAAAGTCTCACTCTCCTCTCAGAAATATACACTCTTGTACAGAACCTTCAGCAGCTGTCATTTTTTTTTTTTTTAATACAAGGGCTTATGTTTTCACACCAGTTCATAGATTGGGTGGAAGATGCCATTTCTATTTTGATAGAACAGAATGGTATGTGGGCGTGTGATGTGGAGGACATTATGTGACTCCTTGCCTTATACACAAAATCGGTGTAGAGTTCCCACACTTCCTCCTGGGTAGGGAAAAGTCATGGGTATTTTGCAATCTGGCTTTTTAGTAGTTCCTTTTCCCACAAAAAGTATTCTGAGGCCAGGGGTTAAAACCTCTATTTTAAAATCAATTAAGTTAAGATTATTTTATTTTTCGTATGAAGAAGTAGCATGTTTCTACCTACATATAATTAGAAACCTTTGCTTACTGACATTTTCACATTGCCCAAGCTGTTGTTTAAATTGGAGTTCCAGTTTCAAATATAAGGTGAAACTTGATCTGGTCATTGCTTTGTTAAAGGCTGAGAAGCAATCTAAGGAAGGAGAGTGGAAATCATCTGAGAATCCTGGAACAGCTGAGAGGTGACTTCCTCCTGCAAAAAGGAAAGCTTGACAATTGAATAGCTGGTGACCCTTAAGCCCTCAGGAGGGAGACCCTGAGCCCATTCTTTCATGCTGGGAATAGTGGCATCTTGATCTCTGGGTCCTGAGCTCTCTAAACAAGATTGTTTTAGCCTTAAAATTATATGAGGTATTTTTTTTTTTTTTTGGAGGGGATGGGGTTAGGGAGGGGGATTAATTTGATGAAATCCTTTGAGAAAGTGTAAACTTTCCCCTAGGTTTCTTCTTTACCTGTTTTTGCATGACTTATCAGAGTCCTTTGGACAAAGCCATCAAACATTACTGCCTTCTACTTTGGACTTATTCTTCAGTTTCCAGAAGGAGTGGAAAGTGAGGAAGAAAGAAGTAATGCTGTAGATAAAAGAGAAATAACTGACCCCATTTCAAGTGGTTGAGCTTCTCTCCAATTAGGTAGATACTAATGCCAAAGATGTAGCTGAAAGTGAAGAAGACTGCTAGACCCACTGGGCTAAGTTTTTCAAATACAGGATACACCCACGTGCCAGTCTTGGAGTAGATCCATAGGACCCTGCACAAAAATGACAAGTCACAAAAATTAGGGTAGCAGGAGAGAAAAAAGTTAATTTCTCTTCAGCATGGATAGAGTTCTGGAGCTCTCATCAGTGATATTTGTCCACAGCTGAAATGTTCCCACAAAGCAACACAAGTGAGTCTCTTCAGAGTAAACAAATAGATTTGATTCAATAAGTCTGTCTGTCTCATTAGTTGGGTTTGGCTGTTTTGTCTAATCCATTAGGATTCAATGTTGGTGAAGGAATATGAGAGAACATCAAACACATCATTGGCCAAAGGGATTGTGTGAGAACATGAATTATTCCTTTCCCTGATATGTATGACCTTCTGGGACACTAAACCTGCTAAGATGACTGACTATCAGTCAGAGAAGTAGAGTTTGTTTGTTTTTTTTTCCCCTCCCCTTTGCTTTCATCAATTATTTACTGCTACTATATCATTTGCTCAGATTATACAGCTGTATCATCCATATAGCTAATTAGCTAATGATAACATCATGATACCAATAGTGGTTATGTCTAGGTGTGGGATTAGATATTAATTTAATTTGCTTCTTTTTTGCTGAGTTGGATTTTTAAAATATTTCATGATGAAAAAGTTTGTGTGTGTGTGTGTGTGTGTGTGTGTGTTTAATTTTTATTGTGATTTGGGTGAAAGTTCAGAGCAAATTCATTTCCATACACATTTTGTTTCATGACATTGACTGGAATTCCCCACAATGTAATATTTCTTCCCACTTCCTCCTTGTAGTTACCTGCTCCTTGTGTCTCTCTTTCCTATGCATCCCTGCCCTGGAGCTGTCTCACTGTGCAAATACTGCCCTTCTGTTCTCCCATGATTGATCATTCTAAGGAGTGTATCTACATGAAGTAAATATTCACCCTATATGCCTATCTCTTGTTTGACTAGAAGCCACGGGAGTGAGTTCAAGTCCAGACCTGAAGGATAAGTAGGGTTCATAGTCTTGGAGGTCTTACCAGGCACTGTCAGACCAGTAAACCTGGTCTTTCTAAAGATTTTGAGTTTTGTTCCACATTGTCTTCCTAATCTACCAAGGATCTCATGCACTGACCCCTTTCTGAATGGTTGACAGTGGTAGTCAGGCACCATCTAGTTCTTCTGGTCTCATAGTCACATAGGCTGAGGTTTGCATGGTCCACTAGTTCCTTGAACTAATCATTTCCATGTGTCTTTGATTTTCTTCATTCTTCTTTGCTCTGGATGATTAGAGATCCATTGTTGCATCTAGGTGATTGCTTGCAAGCTTTTAAGACCCCAATTGCTACTCATCAAAGTAGGCTGTAGACAATGTTTTTGTGTAGTATGTTATGCTAATTGAGCTTGATGTCCCCTGCGACCACAGTCCTGAGCCCCTACATCCAACAACTTGCTCCATTAGGATGGCTGACAGTGCCTAAGAAGTTATCATAACTTTGCCCCATTAGTTCTAGTTATATGGGCATTTTTACAGCACATACAAATACATATGTAGAAGTGGAGTTTTTTGTTTTTGTACCTGAGAGGTAGGTGCAACTTGACGTTAGATCTCCAAATCTGTTGGGAAGGGATAGGGATCAAGTAGTATTTCTCTGATACAATGTGCCTGGAATCTAACTAGTGGTCCAGTTTTAGCTAATGGGAGCTCTGGTAGCATAGTGCCTAAGGCACTTGACTGCTAACCAGAAGGCTGGCAGTTCAAATCCACCAGCCACTCCTCGTAAGGAAGATAGGGCAATCTACTTCCATAGTGATACTGCCTCGGAAACCCAAGGAGGGGTTGCTATGAGTTGGGTCTGACTTGATGGCACATAACAATAACAACAACAACTACAACAGGATATTAAGTAAGGAGTTCTAGTGGTGTAGTGGTTGGGGCATTTAGCTGCTAACCAAAAGGTTGGCAGTTCTAAACTCAACAACTGCTCTTCTAAAGAAAAATGAGGCAATATTCTTCCATAAAGATGTACAGCTTTGGAAACACAATGGGAGTGGTTATGAATCAAACTGACTAAATGGCAATGGGTTATTTTTAAGTAAAGAGACCTGGTGGCACAATGATTAAGACTTTTATCTGCTAACCAAAAGGTCAGTGGTTTGAACCTACCAGCCACTCTGCATATGTTCCCATAAAGATTTATAGCCTTCAAAACCCTATGGGAGGTTTCAAAATGGAGTTTCATCAGTAATCACCATGCTATTTATCTCCTTCTAGAATCTTGGTGCTTGAAAAACTATGTACAGCAGTTTGAATTAGGGATTCTGGTGCTCTGAACAGTTCACTGAGTCATAGTGCACCAAACTCAGAGGAGTAGAATTAGAAGGGAGAAAGGTACAGGGGGAAAAAAATAACAAGATCAGAAGATCTATCCTGTGGAGTGCTGACAGGCAGCCGAGAAAGGCCATCAGAGACTTCCCTGGGGGGAGTGGCCAGCAGGCAAGAACAGTCATCTGAGACCTCCCTGGGTTAAGGAGGAAGACACACTACACCAGCATACCAGTGACTACACCAGCATACCAGCAATCACCCCAAGGATCTATCTTCAGCACCTGATTTTATCAGTAACTTGGGTCAGCTAGGTGCAAACAGGCACGTCCAGTGCTGCTGAAACCCAAGCAGAGAGTCCACTGGTGCTGCAGGAGGGGAGGCCTGGGGAGGCGTCCCTGCAGTGGGTCACCAAATAGGCTTGGGTCAGATTAGTGGCACTGAAAGGCCTGCGCTTGACTTTATCAGTAATATTAGGACCACAGATTACTAGCAGGCACTCTCCTGACTCCAGCACCACTGAAACCAAGCAGATGTTTGGCGCCGTAGGTAGGTGGACCCACAGAGGAACTCCTGAGGCAGATCACAGTCTGGGTCAGTTGGGCCGGCATCATGGGTGGTTAGGGCCAGAGGGAGAAACCCTTGTGACAGATTGTGGAGTCAGGAGTTGTCTTGGGTCAGCTTGTTGGCACCAAGGGGCCTCGGGAGTGGGGTTTTTGTGTGTATCTGAGCCTGGTGGAAAGTGGCAACCCCCTAAAACTGGAGTCTTTGCTGAGGCTGAGCTGTGGGCCTGTAAATAACATAATCAGTATCATCAGTAGCAGCCCTCTCAAAGCCCTAGAAACTGCCCCTACCAACAGTGAGCTTTCCTTCTTCCACTCTGACCTTCTCCATCAATAACTTCACTCATCCAATAGAAGAAACCACATTCAGCCAACAAAACCTCCTAGTTTGAACTTTAAACCCTCTTTATGACAAACAGAGATCCATATCCACATTCCACACAGTGATTCCACCATCACAAAGAAAACTGCAGACCAACCAGCATACCTGGATTAATAACTAAAAAAAATAAAATACACCAGCTTCACCTTTTCAAAATATTAAACCATAAAACCAAGACAAAACAAATCAATACATAGCCAACAGTTAAAGACAACCTCAAAATGTCTATGAAACAACAGGCAACCTCAAATCAAACAAACAACAAAAACAAGACAAGGCATTAGAAGCAAAACCACAAACAAAGGTCTCATTAAACATGGAGGAAGAGGAAGCAATAGAATTATCTGAGAAGGAATTTAGAAGACATGTATATAGAGCTTTACACGACCTTAATGATACAGGATACACAGTTCCCTGGAAGAACTCAGGAAAACTATTCAAGAACAAAATAATAAGATTAATGCACAATCAGAACTCCTACAAAAACAGCAGTTAGAAATCCAGAAGATGAATACCAAAATTACAGAATTACACAAAACAGTAGAAGCACAAAAGAGTAGGTTAGAACTGTCTGAAAAATGTATATCCCAACTAGAAGACAAATCCCTGGACACCAGCCTGTATGAAGAAAAATCACAACAAAGATTTAAGAGAAATTAAGAGAACCTAAGAATTATATGGGATGACATGAAAAGAAACCACATAAGACTCATTGGAATTCTAGAACAAGAAGAGGTGGAAAAAACAAAACAAAACAAAACAAAACAAAAAAAACCACTGAGATAATTGTGGAAGACTGCTAACAGAAAACATCTCCCATATCATGAAAGAAGAAAAGATATTTGTCCAAGAAGCTCATAGAACCCCACACAAGCTAGATCCCAAGAGAAAAACACCGAGGCATATTATAATCAAACTCTCTAAAACCAAAGACAAAGAAAAATATGTTGAGAGCTGCCTAGGACAAAATAAATATTACTTATAATAATCAAACCATTATGCTGAGCTCCAATTACTCAGCAGAAACAATGCAGGCAAGAAAGCAATGGAATGGCATATATAAAACACTGAAGTACAAGAACTTCCAACCAAGAATCCTATATCCAGCCAAATTATCCATCAAATATAAGGGCAAAATCAAGGCATTCTGAAACAAACAGAAATTAAGGGATTTTGTAAAAACCAGACCAACCCTACAAGAAATGCTTAAGGAAGTTCTTCCAATAGAGAACCCACAACAGAGATCAATAAAATCAGGATAGGTGTCATCAACACTAAAACCAAATCAGAAATAGAAACTCGGAATAAGATCATAAAACATTGTACTCGAAAAACCAAGGAAGTCAATCAGCACACAACAACAGCAACTAACCTATCAGAGGGAATAAAACTTCTAGGTACAAACTTCCAAATGGAGAGGAAAACAGGGCAATGTCTTCACAGTATGCACTGTTCTAAAAATGTAGAGACAAGAATATACTCCAAGGTAACCACAGAGAAAAGTAACAATCCCCATAAGTAAATCTAGAAGGAAGGAAAACATAAGGGTTTAATAAGCACAAAACTAACAATAAAGAAGATCAGAGAGAAAGCATTAGCCAACAAACTGAACTTACCACAGAAAAGACCAAGGAAACACCAACAACATGACCAAAAAAAAAAAAAAAACAATAGAATGACAGCAGTCAATTCATACTTATCACTAATTACACTCAATGTGAAGAGACTAAATGCATCTATCAAGAGAAAGAGAATGGCTGCCTACAAGAGACCCACCTTAGACACAA